TTTATAATTCATTGTATTTTTTAGTTTTTATGTAATTACCACATAACCTACATAATATAAAATAATGAGAGAACTAACTTGTAAATTGTAATATACCCGTATTGGACGATCATGTTATTGCTATCACATCATATCAGTTAACATTTTCTGTCAAAAGGATATACTATACGATATAGGTATGTTACAACTTTACGAATATCGACTTTGAAGTGTTTCGACCAAAATAGGGTTTACGCATTTAAATTATATTAGGTATGTGTATATTCGATTGCACCGAAGCCTGTATAAATTTATCTAAGGGAGATGGGCAAATTTGTTAACACATAAAATATAACATTCATTTGCTGATTTAGCTAAACGTGGTTTTTTATAATGGTGACCTTTTTTTCATATAACCTTCAATTTTTTGCTTAGTTATTTAGTATACTCAATTTAACAAAAAAAATCAAACAACCAGGGATCCTGGGAGTGCCAAATGCCTTAGCTTCCTTTAACTTCTGAGTCACGGGGACCTGTGTTCTATTGAATGTAGTAATATTCCCTTTGTTATATTCTATTAATCAAATAATGGCAACATTGTTGTATAACTTATAAATTGGGTTGAATCAAATTTGGTTGTTTCAAAATATCTCTTATTTGACGTGGTGCCTAGCAGTTTTCAATTTTTGGGATTCGTTGTTGATAGTGTTCATACTGTTCATAGACTTCAACAATAGATCGTTTAGTTAGCAAGAACATTTTCAACCAATTAGAATAATATTATATACTGCCATACAACTATTTAATAAAAAAAATAATTACATTTACAAAAAAAATATTCATTTACATAATAAATCCAGTATCTACTAATAAATAATGAATATTAAATGATGTTGATAAGACAATGAAAATATTAATTAGCATGTAATTGGCGAATGGTATCAAATTCTAATACTGTTTAGCTATTTAGTTATCTATTTACGTCTGTGATAATTAATAATTTACTATAAAAATTAATTAATTACGTTATACAGTTTTGTGTAGACTATTGTTATATATAATATATTCCTTAAAACGTTTTCACAATTTCTGTAACATACAAATTAAAGTATTTGTATAGGTACGTAATTTTATTATATTATGTACTACATCAGGCGCAAGATGTTAAAACAATTCATTATTTTTATTTAATGTAAAAGTATTACGTTCAATTAAAGTTATATAATATATATTTAATAAAAAAATATTATTTCACAGGTTTTTAAAATCATAGTAGAAGGATGTACCTACTATTAAAGTTGTCAAACCAATTATTTTATTCTCACGTTGTTTCTAACTAGGAAAATTAATATATTATTATAGGTACATATAGTAATTATTATATTTTACTTGACTAATACTCCAAACATAATTTTCAAACAGTTTATTAAGTACCTATTAATCATTGAAGAACAAAGCAAACATTTTACTCTTTAATAATCTTAACATTTTGGGTATTACATAAATATTGTACTCACAGGCCTCAATCACTGTTACTGCTGCAGTACAGCTACTATATACTCGTAATACTATGGAATTAAGTAATTTCTGTGTTTTATTTTTTTATAAACAATAAAATGGCAATTATCATTGTTAAAATGTCATCCGTACAAGTTCTATTAGAATTTAATTACAGAATAGAAAAAAAAGGATTCTACTATTTTGCAATAAAATCGAAGACATGCTTTAATACGTGTGTGGTCGGTGGTGACCCCGAGAGGTCATGTTGCTTATGTTTCTGTACACTTTGATTTGTTTTTAATAACATTCGTTATTAAAAAGATGGAAAAAAGTCATCGGAATAAAAATAAGAAATTGCACCGGTTCCCCAAAATTAATACCTCATTTGTCTCGCAGAAAATACAAATATCCTTTGTTTTGTGCCGCTGACCTCAAGCGTGTAACAATACATCTGTCATCGAATGTGTGTCCTTCGTATATGATTTATGTGTTGCGGCACCGTAATCCATAAAATTCAATAAGCAAAACTATTGTAATAATAACTTTTCATAACAATTTTCACACACGACACATTCGTAAAATTGTATTATTATAATGTAGGAAAGTATACATGATGTAGGTGCTACCTATCCTAGAAAATATAAATACAAATAATGGGATAACAACAAAGTCGCAAATGTTAAATGTCATTATTTTACGGTTTAAAGATCTAATAATATTACATGTTATGTACAAACATAAAATAATGACATCAAAAATAAAATTGCCTCAACATTTTACAAACTTGTCGAGCTGAAAAAGTTAAATTATTTTAATCGTGGCTAATTAATTATGAAGTCATACCTGGTTAAGACTTCTAGAGTATTTGTAAACTGTTTCGAGCGATCTATTATTTTTTAATTTTTCATCAGTTTTATGTTTTGAGTGCAAATCGGAAAAACCACAACTTTTTTTAATGTTTCTTCTTTGTATGATAAACTCATAAAACAAAATATTTATTCTAATTTAAATTGTTTGATATTTTATAAAAACTTGAAATGTTAGTGAACCCTCTTATTTTTCTTAGTTTATTAGAAAAAAATAAACATTCAACATTTTTAAAATGCATTTACTTACATACTATTTATTGAAATATGTATGTTGTTAGAATACAATAAATTAAAGACACCCACTCTGAATACTTAATTTTCGAATGTGGAAATTATAATATTTCAAATATTACTGTTTCTTTAGTCATGTTTTACAAATAATAAATTCATTATAGTACAACCAAACCTAACCTAACTTTTTTTTTGTACAGACATTTTAGAGTAAAATTGTACATATATTGCCTATTTATTACGCCGTCGTTATTTAATACGAATTTTGTATATTAACACCTATATTATATAAATTATGTACCATAGCAGCTGCTATACCCAATTAATTGTGAAGCTTTTGGTTAGAATTTAACAAAAAAAAATTCGTTAGCATGCTACTAGATATATTTTGACTGCAATGAAAATAAAATTGAAGAGTCATAGATATGTTTTTGGGTATAATGCAGTGGAAAAATATCTAGTAGCATGCTACATTTTGTTAGGAATTTAATTTAATATAATTTTTTCATTGTTGATTTACGTTTCTATGACAATAAACAAAGCGTTACGAAAATCGGTCTTGCAAAATCGGTTAGAAAATTAGAAGAATATGTTAAATATATATATAAATAAATAATAATATAATAATATAATATATCTATAAATTATATATTTCGATATAAACTATACTGTATGATTGCAAGTAGGTAATCATGTAGTCAATTTAAATTACAAGTTATCCCAAAACATAATTAATTTGATAGTTTATTTTTTCCGAGAGACTGGGAATTTCGAGTGAACAAGATGTCTACCTAGAATCGAATAATTATTATTAATTTTGAATAATTTACAGGCATTATTACACTTTGAACTATAATTTCTATGCCACGCACACTGATACGCGTGTATATTTAATGAGCCTTCATAAGATCGAGTTACTCGTTTAAAAGTTATTTCATAATAAATTAAGACAATTTAGAATAGTATTCGTATAGGTTCGTATTATGTATTAACATTGAAACTAAACTTCCTTAATACGCGTTGAAAAATACGTTTAAGAAAAGAAATTGCGTGCCATATAATTATTATTATACGCACCGTAATAATAATTACACGTTTAATCTCATTGTGTCGAAGAAAAAAAACTTGTGTAAAGAAAAAAAAACACTACCTACTCGTTCGCACGTGAACAGAGCATCAACTGTAATTATTATTGCCCCTCGACTATCATTTGATAATTACCTTTTAAGCGAGGGTATTACGGTTGCTCGCCGCCAATCGTTGAACATCGTTTTGCTAAACGTTACAGTGTCGCACATATATCTAGTGGTATACCTACCTGCACTTTAAAACGATCTCAACGTCGTAATTCGCCATCATAAACATTTATATCAAGAAAAACTGTTCCGCTTACTGCAGTGGATATTGTGATACGATTACTTCATTAACGTGCCCATCGGGTTTTGATTTGTTTTACTGTCGATCGTGTAACAATTAATAACAATTGTATTATTATAATATAAATCAAAAACAATATATAATCCAATATGAAAACCTACACCAGTCGTTTAAAACGTATATACATATATGTATATTGTATACAATAACCGTGAGAGATTTAACATAGATTTTTTGGATTTTGCTCAAATAATATTCTAAACATGTTGACAGCATTCAACTGTTAAACGTTTTAACAGTTGACTTTCATGAAAATAATAATGATAGAAACAATGATACTGGGTCAATATTGTCTAATATTCTAGTAAATATTTGCAATATTTGGAAATTCACCATCGATACAAACTTATTTCGGCAATTGGCAATCACTATCGAAGTAACCGGCTTGTATAATAATTATTATATATTTGTATATATTTTAAACTACTATCAGGATCTGGTGACATAATTAACACCATCGAGACACCACGCTAGTCTGTTAAGCGAAATCAACTTTGTCAGAATGCTATAGGTATATACCTAGGATAAATAAACAACATAAAAATTGTTTAAAATACCTAAAAACGATATAAGTATATAGTTATCTAACACATATTATGCAGTCGGTTTATTATTTGTTCGCTCGCATGTATTTTGCGTAATTATTATGAGTACTCATTATAGTATTATACTTACTATATTTCACTCTTTTCACCCAAAATATAACGGATCTATTATGTGTCCGTTGTATGATCTCGTGTGCCTCGGATAAGAAGAGTTATTATTTTAGTTCGTATTTACACGAGGACAAACACCGTTCCGGCATTAACGGCCCGGAACATTTCTTATATTATATACTCACCACCCGCCGCGTATGGTTCACTACTCGTATAATATACAAGTAGTATATAATATAGTAATATATAATATATATTTAAATATAATATAATATATATGTATATTGTATAGTGACACTGGGCTAAATTAAACCGTCGAATGTTTCAGATGACTGAAGTGACGAGCAGGACCGTCGGTTTCAGAACATCTGCCGACGGTGACAGGAAAGCCTTGTCCGTGAGAAGATACGAGGCCAAACCTCCGGAAAACTTGGAACTGGTAAGTCACACGCATAATCACACTATATAGTACGAAGATGGTGACAATAATAGATGTCGAACGTCTTCTATTCTTATATATAACTACATGGTAAGTTTGGGTAAGGTTAGGTCAGCCTAACCTAACCCAACCCCGTGTTTTAAACCTAAACATATAAAATGGGTAAAGTATACTGTTCGAGTTATACAGCAGTAACCTAAACGCAGGCACGAGATGTGAGACCATACTTTTCGAAAGAACAAAACTTCCATAATCTAATATAAAATTTAGAATGTCAAATTAGTTTTAAATACTTACAATGGTTACCTAACTTTTGATTGATAGGTAATTAATTACGTCCTCTTTTCAACGCATTTATTAAATGAGGACGTGGCGTAAGAACATTATATGATATTGATAGAGGAGGTATAATGCAATAAATTACGATTACCGACGACTTTCCTAAGTACTAGTCACTAGAGTGTCTGTCTTTCCTTATTTTTCATTTTCTATCACTATGTACTGTATACTATAACATAATAATAAATAACATTCATTCAACATAAAAGTATTATAGCTTGTTCTATATTTATCGTTATCATGATTATAATTTATCACCAACGTGTTTGATTTTAATTGAATTTATAATTTTACCCATTCTCAATATTAATGTAGATAAGTAATGGAGACTACCTATCCGGAATGTCTAAATAATTATTATGTAGGAACTCTTATCGATTTCAAAAATACTTTAACCAAATGTTGTAAGATTCCTTTAGGGAAATTTCAGATGATATGCAATTTGTAACCTGTGACAAAATGTAGAATCCCTTTAAAGTATTTATAGGTTATAATTTAAATAATATGTCATTTTTACCGTATTCATATGTTATGTATAAATTATAAATACATGCGGTTTATAAAGTGTCATAACATTCTCCAAGATAACGTCATGTCCAAATGCTTAACCAGTTAACCCGTATAAACACATCGGCTTATTGTTTGTACACTTTCTAGTTGTTCAAAATATTATTCACGTTTGTAACATGGCAAATATTTTATTGTTTAGCCCATATTTATATTTTTTTATTGCATTCCGCGCGTACCTAATAATATTATATACCTACCTATAGGCTATAGCCTATAGAGTATTTTAAAATATTAGTTTACCGTACGTCTATATATTCGTATTGTTTTAAGTACGTACCCAGTACCTATTCCATGACTCTGTTGCGCTTACATTAATGTATTTTATTGAACAACGTTAAACACCATTGTGCATATTATACTGTATAAGTACTTAATTAACATAATTTACCGTATCATACGTAGTATAGTAATAAAACCCGTATAATGGTATGTCACGTAAATTCTTACAAAAAAATAACTGGGTACCTCTATAACTATATTTTAATGACATTTATTATATTGACGGACAAGTTAATTGAAAATAAAAATATGGACATACTTAGCATTGGGCAGGCCACTGTGGTTTAGGGTGAGCCACTGGGACGGGCGTGTAAGCGATGGATTTTCTCTCGAAAGCGTCCTGGGTGCAGTTTTTCTTATTGTTTAAAATATATAATTAAATTTGATTTTCTTCATTTTAAAGCTGTTAAAGTTGACAACACGGGCACTTGGACAATTAACATGAATCGAAATTCCAAGTTAATCGTAACGAAATATTTTAGTAGCTTATATTTTCATGTTTCATTGCTATGTAATTAACTATATAATATAATACTTATATTATATTTCATAATCGATGGTAAAAAACAGAAAACTATTTAAATAGATTATATGATTTTTAAATTGTTTCAGTAATTCTCAGTTTTGATCATATTAGGTCTTAGAGTTTCACTATGCTAACAACTACTGTGAACCTTTTTATTGATTTAAATATTATAATAGTATACCACATAATAATATATTATTATACCTCCTGCAGTAGTTCTAGGCTTCTATATAATATAGTTCGGAATTTGAGTTACCTATCAATATATTAATACTACACAAGTTTAAATTACCATTATTATTATAATTAATGTCCGGAAACATACCTAGTAATATAAAAAATACACATTTTCAGATTATTATTAAATTTGGGTTAAAATGATTTTTTTTTATGTATGTGATTGAATCGAAATTAATTTTCCGAACGTATAGAGTTAAACCTCCCATGTTGGAGACCAGGGTTTGTTTTGCAGTAAACTTAAACGCTCTGAATATATTATATTAGGTACTTATATTATATTATGTTGTGTGGGTGTTTTCGAAAATCCATTGGAAGACTATTGTGAATGTAATGTCGTGCGTATATAGTTAATATTTGAATTTCGTTTAGTTTTCCATTTACACAATATTTTATTATAGATAGGTAGGACGTAGTTAGGCATTCAAATTTAAAACTGCGTAGACGCTTCGTAGTTGGACCCGCGTCGACCTTTATGCTCGCGGTGACTCGTTTCTCGATCAACGCTTCAGATACCGCCTTAGACTTGTAATAATAATATATTATAAACTACGGACACCGTGCGGCGTTTAGTATACCGGAATCCCGAGTTTCCGGTTGTGCGTGCATATACATGGTAGCGGCCGGTATAATATTATAATACTTACAATATGCTCGTATATATTATAGTAAATAGTGTCGATATCGTGGTATGTAGGTATATTATACAGGGCGATTCGCCAAGCATGTTCACCGCCCCCCCCCATTTTTTCTCTTAATTACTGAATTTATATGTAAACTCTGATTTTAAGAATTTTTAAACAATTTAACAGGTGTTCTATCGTGGAGATTCAAGGTATTTTTTTCAAATTTGAATCATTCCCCTATATACATTGTTAATTAGATGACTTTTTTGAAAATTGGAATGTACCAATCTAAATGGAAATTTGAACTAGTAGTTTTTGAGCTTTTTAACTTTGTGTACTAAGGATAATAGGTCCATGATAATGGGTTTAAAAGATGTGGGGGCTAAATGATTTGAACATTTTAGAAATTAATATTAATCCATCAACATTTTATATTTCTGTAAAACCATGTTTAAACGTTTAAAGACTATTATACATTTTAATAACTCAGAAATTATTACTCGTTCAAATTTAATTTAGATATAGGTACATCAACATAAATTTTCTAATAAAAGAAATTTGTGTCGTCACAGGGCACTCTTTAAATTGTATGAAAATATAAATCATTTAATTCATCATGGCCATTAAGCATATAATATTATATACCTACAACCTACTGGAAAATTCTAAAAATCAGGATTTGACAAAATGCGTATTATTAAAGAAAAAATGGGGAGAACATGCTTGCCACTTGCAGGTGAATCCCCTGTAAAGTCTACTTCTAAAACGTATGATTGTATACGAACGAACAAAACGATTAAAAAAAAATCAAAAACAAATCGATCTGACCTCGAAACCGCGACTCGTGGAAGATACGGAAAAACGAAATTACGTGAATCAGGTACCTATATTATTATTATTATGCGACGCACTCGCGAGCGATGTGAATAGAGTGCGTTGATTGCGTCGAGCCGGCACCCATTTTTTTCTCACCGACACGCGCGTTTCCGTAAAACGGAAACAAAAACTGTGAATAGATAAAAACATGAAAAAAAAACCCTACGAAATCGTAGCCCGTCCGCCACCGGCGAAAAGTGAATGAGCGTGCGGTGTCGTACCCATGTGCAGTATAGGTAGAAAGTGGAAGTGCGCGAGCGCTCGCGTCGGATGGAACGCGCGCGCGGGAGAGGAGGACGCCGCCGCGGCCACGGTACTCGGCGCAGTCTGTCCGTCCGTCGCCTAACCCGTCGCTCGCGCGTTGGCGGCAAAATAATCGCATCCGACCCCTCTGCGGTCGTCGTCGGTGTGTGTGTGTGTGTGTGTGTGTGTGCGTGTGCGTGTGTGTGGTGTCACGCGGTGGTCAAATCGTCGTAGTATTTTTTTAAACTTTTTTTCTTTATGTGTTTCACATTTTGGTAATATTATCGTCTTCTTGACTATACCTATATATTATTATAATATAACACAATAATATTACAGCCGTTTATTATGCATAAACCTCCCACGTGATGTGCTGTTACGACCGTTGTATGGATTATCGCCGGTAAATCGTTGGCCCGGCGCGCGAACCAAACACAGTATAATAGCCCACATAATATATATTTTGTTTATACGTCTTTCGAATGGTAGTCATACTTATCGTGCCTGCACCGACGTCGCCCGATAATGGGGCTGGGAGGTACGGCAGAGTTGTCGTCGACCCGGCCAAGAGCCCCGGTGACAGGTCCACCTCGACCACGTCCATATCGTTCGTGTCGTCTGATAACTCGTCGTATTGTTTTTCGCAGGTCGATCCGGACAATCTGATTGCCACCACCAAAGAAGGTAAGAAGACCATTATGATTATATTATTATTATTTATTATTGTTTTTTATTCATTGTAATTAATTTATAATATAAATATACAACAAAACGTGCTGCATTATGTATCAGATAATATAATATTAAGGACTTAGGTATACAAATATACATGTATACAGTGTATAGAATAAAGATTATAGACACATGTCATCAGAGCTTACTTATAATAGCTATAACCGTTCATGTGGGTTAGGCTCTGCAAAAATCCCCGTAAGCTCTTGACCCATACCCTAAGACTCCGAATTATTACCATATCTGTTTATCGCCGAGCCTCGTAAATTGAGTGTATAATACACAATAATTGTATTTAACAAGACAACTATAGTGCCTTTGATTATACATTTCAGAAAAGTACTTTATATTTCCTATGAAATAAAATTTAAAATTAAAGCGTGTATCATTAAAATTGTATAATATTATATTTTGCATTAAAAATAAATAGCCTACCTGTTTTTAAAATATGTGATTCGTGAAGTGTTTTAAATCGTTTTTAATTTCTTTATTCTCTATGCATAAAAACTGAAAACCAATCCCACGCTAGATTTAGTGCAGAGTATAGTATACAGTATAATATAATATTATAATTTATAATATATAGTATTAAACTAAAACTTGTACACTTACGGATTTTATTACACTATGATTTCAAGCTAATATTGGTCACAAAGTGTTTATTTCGATGCGTATTTCAGATCTTATAAGATCATTATTATAACACATAGGTAGTAATTATTGAAAGCAATAATGATGTTCACATTTTCTACTAATTTTTATTTTTTTTAAAATTCAATTAAGACATGTACTAGAAACATCTGCGTTCAACCGTGAACATAATTAACGTTAAACTCGTTAATGTAAGTGCGTTTCTCATATAGTAGGTACCTATAATACACGGCTACACATATATACTGAACTGGCCACGATTGACCATTACAAATCGCAATAAATAGAACGTCAATAAATCTAAATGCTGTGGTCAATTATTCAAGTTTTTGCCCCGTACGGAATGTTAGTGTCATTAGTGCGAAAATGTTTATTTTTAAATTTGCATACCCGTCAAAAAAGCAGCCTCAACCACACGTTTTGATCGATTGTGATAGCATAGATTTACAGATCACAATATACAGGTGAATAGTAAATACACCACCAACATGCCTTAAATCGAATAAAAATATTTTCAACCAGTTCGATATTGCGTGTCTGACGCAAACCCATTGGACTTTAGAAATCGTTTCACGTACACGAATTCATTATGTTGGCGTCAGTACATCATATCGATAAACGATTTTCGAAATAATAATAATGTTCTCTGCACATCCGTGACACGAGATGAATAATAAACATTTTGAAAACAAGAGAAAACGCGAAATACGATCCCAAAATTTATACGATTATACCACTATGAATATGGTAATTTTTAACCATAGATATTTACGATACCTTCACATCAAAGTTTCGTTGAACTCGCAAAAAGGACTGTAATAAAATGAACTCATAAAATTATACAGCGTCCAGTGTGCTGTACAGTTGTTACTGAATAAGATAAAATGATGAAACTAGATTGACATAAATGTTGCCCCTAAAATAAAATAATAAGTCCAATCAATTTATAATAGTGTTCAAATAGATGCTTATAAAATATATACCTATGTGTGACGAAATAAAATAAGACACCTAGTACAAATTTTCTTGACCTGAGGCTTAAATATACGTGATTAATATATATTATATGATTGCTAAAACTTTTAATATCAATAAAATGTAGTGTAACTATAAAAGTTATAATTATTTTAACTTCATATTTATATACTAGTAAGGTACCTAGGGTCAAAAACTGCCGTTGAAAAATTTGACTACCACTTAAAATTTACTAAAATTTATAATTAAAAGCAAATACCATTCATTCACACAAATTTATAAGTCACAAAATCGCATATTAAATTTAAGTAAATAATTGTAGTTGGTATATTTGATTTAGCTGTTAATTCCGGTCGGTATATCCATAAACCCCGATGCAATATTTTAAATTATAATTAATTACTAATACCTATTATAGTATCATAATATAATATTATATGTTTAAATGTTTATCACTACTCTCAAATCATTAATAGCATAGAGGTAATATTAAAATATAGTATGTTTATCTTAAATCTTAATAATGCAGTTATGAATATATTTTTATTATTATGAAATTGTATGTTTGCTAATACAATTTAAGGTGAATATTAAGCAAGAATAGTATTTTACACAAAATAAAGTAGGTTTAACAATAACATGAATAAGAATTGTCAACATTCATATATAGGTATAAATGTAAAATATAGTTAATATTAGAAGACATTAGACTTAACGTTTTGTTAACAATAGTATGGATTTATAAAATAAAACACATGTAGCCATCAGACTTTTGCAATGTTTCAGCTATGACCAATGCCTTTGAACATTATTTTACCCGATATTATGTGATTTATAATTATGATTGCGTCGCACAAAGTAAAAATCTTTAAAAATGTAAGCCATATAAAAATATATATACCTAAGTATTAATAAAATATTAAATTACGCATAGAACTAGCCGTCAATGAAATTATCTATTTGATAAATTGATTAAAAAAAAGTAGAGTTCCGATTTTTTTAAACTTTGAATATATAGTTAATATATACAAATATGACTTTAAGACACTAATTTACATTAATAAAATAGTATACATCCTATAACCTACTCGTCTACAATAATGCTATAATTAACCAAATCATTGAACTCGTTTTAACTGAAAATGAACTAAAAAATTGCTGGTAAGTGGTAGTTAAGTGAAACTCGAATAAATTTAATATTTTCCCGGACGAATAAGCACGCCATTATAAAATAAAATATGATTAGCCAATAATTGATTATACAAATATGGGTGTCAAATCTCCCTGACCTAACGCTAGTTACTAAACTGGGTGTTGGTGGTTTTATGGATATTAAACGTCTGTGGCTTGAAATCAGCATAGATCAGCGTACCGTGACAATTATTATTATATTGTAAAATGCAAGATTAACCTATATCAATCTACGTATATTCTATTGATTTTTTGTTTGCTTTATATTAAAATGTGTGAGTTTTTACATGGTATTATAAATTAAATTAAAGATGGAAAAAAAGTTAGAATAAACATCACTCACGGGCCATCGATTAGTACAGCTTAAAAAGGAGAGGGAAAATTATGTATAGAGAGTAATGAGAATAACAGCAAAAATCGCCAAGGTGGTATTTCTTGCACTTTAGCTTATTAATATTCGTGACGTACCCAAAACACAATAGATGGATAAAAATCTGTTTTTATTTGTGTTTTGCAATCATTGCATAGTGTGCAATTAACTTCTTTGTAAAATATGGTTTATATACACTTACACTATTATAAACAATAACAACCAGCTAACTAGCAGCGACTACAAATAACACGAAATAAACGTTATACTTACACACATATTATTACCTTAACATTTTATTAGTTCTGAAAAATCTACGGTCTTGTGTTTTTCAAAATTAGGAACAGTCAAATATTTATAATTTAAATTTTAGTACCTATTCGTATCGGATAATACCTAACATGTATATTGAAGAAAAGTGAATACAGTGTATACTATAGTAACATTTAAAACTAAAACAAAAGTCCAAAAATACGTGTCTGAAATTATTTTAGCATTATTATTAATACAATTAAGTTCGATTGCATATACACACAGTTTTAAAAAACATAATAATTATTTAATATTTAAATCGATAATTTATTACTCGTCCACGCTTAAAATTACATTTCATTAACGTAACTATGAACTATAAACATAAAATATATAAATTACCAGGATCATACTGATTATAACCGGTTACATACGATTAACCAACAAGGGTTATCGAATTATTTTAAAGAGTAATTCGATACAGCAAATGATCTAATTTAACCAGATTTAGTTTTTTTTTTTTGTTTCTGGTTTATTCTCTAATAATAATAATAAAATACATTGTTTAAACTTTAAATCAAGACAAATATTATATAACTGACTCGAAAAATTAATAGGCAGGTCTTATGAAATAATTCTATGTTCCACGACGTATTATTAAAACTTTTTATAGTTTTTACTTCAGCCAGTTTTCAAAAATGAAAAAAAAAATCACACGCTATTTTATATACTATGCTTAGTCAACAAAAATTTACCCAACCCAGTAAATAGGTAACACACAGTTTGTTTATAGAAAATATATATAACTGTTGTTTATATTATTATCGTTTAAATGTACTGTTGTGACATTACATACACTATTTTAGTTTAAAATTAGCATACTAGTATTACCACAATGTATACCATGCGGAAGCATCTCTAACATCGGTTCGTCTGAAGCGTTTTTTGAACAGCATTGTGTACTTTCTCCGGGGTATTGTTAAACTGTTATGTTTTTCAGGCCTCTATATGAAGTCAAAACGTTTGTTATCCAATGGGTACGAAAAAAAAACAATAACGATAATAATAATAATTATTATTATATTACTAACATGGCTGGTGGCTACGTGTGAATGTTTTATTCATTGCAATAAATTATAATAAAATATACATTATCCCTACTAAACGTGGATTTGTATACGACACCCTTGTATTGCTATTGATGAGAAAAATATCGTCATTCCTATGTCGGAAAGGAGACTAGTATATAATATATAATATATAGGAACACAGTTGTAAATATTGTGCAGTATAACATATTATATTGTTATACATATAGGTACGCTTGACTTACTCAGTTACTCACGAGATAAAAACAATTTGCGTACTTTAAACAATATGTTAATAGTCTTCGGACAATAGAAAACGTACTTAAGATGTCTTTTGAAGGTCGGCCATCATAGGAAATAATAAAATAATAAAAACAAACTTAAACAAATGTACTAGAAAAATACAATTAGTTATTACACTTTTTAAACTTTTACATGTTGCGTATTTAACGCGTATTGCAGGCGCAATCACTTATAACTCAATTATATAAATGTATAAATTGAAATAATTATTTGTTGGAGTGTGAAACCGTGTATATAAATATAAGCGTATACACTGATACAGATACACATGCAAATATAACATTAATTCCAAAGCAATTTTTAGCCAAATGTTTTTGACTGTGGTATGTTGACACCATTTTATCAACAAAGTAAATTGTGACAATTTTACGCGTACTAAAAATCAGGCGGCAGATCAAATCTTTTAATAATATGTCTTTCAATTTTGATTGATAGTCGTTCGAAGTGTACAAAATGGTGTACACAAAAGAAGGAATAAAAACGTTTGCCCCTAATATATATTTTTCGCTTGTGCCACAGTAGAGTATATGCTCATTAATATAATTTCATAACTACCAGTTGACAGATTAATAGGGTCCTATAGTCTAGCCTATATTATAGTTCGAGCGTGTGTGTATATGCATACAAAACCAGTGTTTGTGTGTGTGTGTGTGTGTGTGTGTGTGGACTTATGGATACAATGTTTCCAAACTGAGAAATACACAGCGATATACAATTTGCCAAAGAAAGTGCAATTCGCCCGTTTATGTATTATATACATATTATTGTACAAATGTGTGGGCAATTGTAAATGTCTCCGTTTCCGGGTCTGCTGTTACACTATTCGACCTATATAATTATATATATTATTACACTATATAGGTATAGCTCTGCAATGCGCTCTATGTTTTCCGCCCATTGATCATGTTTGTTTTATATTCTATTCATTTTTTTTTTTTCACAATTTCAGAAGAATGGGTGACTAAGAAAAAAGTTGAATTGACTACCAAAAAACAAATCGAAACGAGAGTTAAAAGACAAGTTGTGTTGGAAGACGGCAAAATCGTCGAGGACTCTGGGCCAATCGTTACGACCAACACGACCGAAGATACCGAAAAACAGGAACATCAACAGACTGAAGTAATTTCAACTAACAGTCTAACTCAAACGCCTTAACTGCATCGATTAAAATACATTTAAGCACCATCGATTAACAATATTGTTTTCTACATTCTCTACGAGATTGAAATGAAATTAACTGCATTTAATCACAAAACAAATAAACACAATTTTAAAGTATTTAAATTTCTAGCAACGCATGCTCGTTATTTAGCATTCTCACATAATAAGGCTTGTCGACTATATCGGTGATCTCTACACACGACTTACATCATACAGACTTACTCTGTACTAGTGGACTGGCTACGATATATCGATTCTTATTAAAAATCGCGTACAATATATTATGTGTATAGAGCTGAAAAGACATTTCAAACCAGTCTCGTAATACGCAAATTATTAGTTCGTATTCGCCTATTATTGTATAGGTACATACTACATATAAATATCTTCAGGCTCTTCGCGAGGTAATATAATTACGATTTCTTAGCGTATAATAATATAATGAGAATTATGATTGGTCTTTTTCACGCGGATATCACATCGGAGCATCACACAAAACAAGTTAAATTAGATCAGAATAATTATATTCGTTCTCGGTATGTACAGTGAAAGGTAGATATTATCAAAAATAATATATAATAATACATAATATGTGCGCCTGCATTCACACACACTGTTACACGCGTCTGTAGCAGTTATCGTGTACGAAATTAATAATAATTTACGTGAGTACACAGTAACAGTATACGGTGGTAGGTAGGTAGGTAGGTAGATAGATACCGGGTTGGTATGCAAACATCAGAGTCAAAGAAAAATCAATTTCTACACAGCATAAAGTATAGGGTTCAGCGAACGGTCCTATTGTTTTTGGCAGCGGTCTAGAGCCGGCTTTTACCTATTCATTATTACATTATAATTTATAATTATTAATCCATCCATTCTCTCTGTCACGTTCGGAATCACTGTAACACCGATTGCATTCCTTAAGAGCGATGATCCTGCAAGAAATCGAGCTAGTCCGAAGGTGAATGTCATATGCTGACTATTACGGAATTCACAATTGAGACGTGATCGGAATAGTATAGTTTATTATTGACAACGTGTTTCGATTTCGGTTTTAACTCACACCATTAAATTATACAATATTATAATATATTATTATTCATTACACTATAGTGTAGTATAGTATAACACCGCTATTTTATAGTAGTTTTCAAATCATTTTTTTCTTAAATATTATTGCTGATCATTTTAGAAAACCTTTTGCTGACCGATCTCTTTACTTTAATAATATCATATAAATGAAAAAAGAGGTAAACCATTATGGATTAATTAAACGATAATAATTTTAATAATATACTTACAATTAATCATGTGAAATTATTTAATAATACCTAATTATAAAGATCAATATTAATCTAATTAGAATATTTTACTATTATATTTAGCACCGTCAATTGGGTGACGAAGGTGACGGAGAAAACACCAAAGAAGTGGTCGTGAGAATATCTTCATTGGAAGGGAACCCATCATTGTTGAAAGAAGTTCGAGAGAAAAAAATCAAGAGCCGAGAAGAAAAAGAAGAACTCGTAGAAACAGAGGATGTGGTCCACCTAGGAAATATTAGCGATAAGGTTCGTAAACAGTAATATATTATTAAAATCTCATCATTGATATATTCGCCCACGGTAAAATATCTGCAAATTTAAGCCGCATTATAAATACATAGCTGTTGTAGTATAATATTATAAAAGTATGATGTTCGTATAGAAATGTCAGAAGCTTTTGAGATTTATTGTTCATTCAACACAAAGTCTATACGGCGTATATACGAGTACGTCGTCCGTGCGTACAGATAATATGTTTTTAAATTGATACGTCGTGAATTAATTAAAATACAAAATATAGTGTACGACGATTACCGGAAACCATTAAAATTCAACAGATTTATTATCTAAAAATCGTTTAAATTTTTCAATATACCTTATAATATGTATATTATATATGTAATATTTAATAATATAACCATAATGAAGAGTCGTAATATACAAATTATTATTACCTAATTTTTATCGTGATGCGCAGGACGTATGACGTATAATAATATTATTATTATAAATTATAAAATATATTATTATAATAGGTGTTCAAACGCAATAAGTTCTTTCGAAACCGTTCATTATGTGCTGTATCGTGCATTGACATCGCGTCGCATATCCTGTGAACGTCCTGCAGTGATTGCCTACATTATATGTTGTGCGATGTTATAAGTTCTGATCTATAACACGTACGTGACTGGCGCTATAATACGCAAGTATTATATACGTTACGCTCTATATACTTCGATGATCGTATTTATTCAAATGTCGCAGTTATATTGTATATATATATATATATGTGTGTATAATGTATAAGACTATAAAGTGCTGTGGATATAATACGTCCTATGTATGAACGTTGCATAATAATCGTCATCAAACATACATTATTCGTACGGCAATGTCATTGTACAAAACACGAGATAGTCACTACATACCTGACTAACTATGTACAGAGTGATTCACTAAGCATGATGGTCACCCCCAATTTTTTTCCCTTTAATACTGAATTTATTCAAATTTTAATTTTTGGAACTTATATAATAGTATAGCTATAAGACTATACTGGACCATATTTTCAAATAAATAGATTTGTTATACCATTTAAGTTGCATTGTCCTGTGGTTCACCTATAACCTGTCCCTTTTTTTAAATGAGAATCACCTTTTTTCTAGCAAAAGTTAATCAAATTACATTTTTTTAAATGTTTATGTACTTAAATTTAAAATCGAAAGAGTAGTTATTGAGTTATTTAACTTATTGTGTACTAATTACTAATAAGGAAAATAGGCCCATGAATCATGATAATGGATTTGGAAGATATGGGGCTATAATGATATAAACATTTTGGTACCTAACTATTATAATATTAATCTATCAATATCTTATCATTTTTTAAACTATAATTACTTTCGAATTTTGATTATAATAAATAGGTTAATACTATATTATTCAGTATTACATCGTTTTATATTTTTGTAAAACCTTTTTTAAGGATTATTATCTTAAGTTTCTACACTTTTATATCTCTAAAACTGCTTTTCAGATTTTGATTTTAATACATCATAATGTTCAAAAAAGTCATTTGATTAAAAACTGATAATACGTTGGTTCTCATTTTAAAAAAGAAGATTTTACTAAAATTTACCAGTCACCACAGCACCTCCTTAAATTATATGAAAAATCAAAATAATTGAAAACAACGTACTAAACATATTTAAATATTTAATAGTATTATGAAAATCAGAAATTCGGTATTAAAGTAAAATATGGGGGTGAGCATACTTGGTGAATCATCCTGTATACGTATATAGCGTCATAGTGACGACCATCACAACATGGCTATATATTACAATATAAGATCAGATTTATAGATATTATGATGTTGGTGTAGGTTATACTCATAATGAAGAGAATAGTATATATCTGTGCAATCGCAGAAAGAAACGTCTATAGAATTATTTTTAACACATTTTTTTTACACAATTACACTTATTTTAACGAGTTGCGACAAGTAGGTGAAATACGATATTCTGAATTCGAATCAATACTCACGAATATTATACAATATTACTTGAAACGGTTTTTCTCTCTCTTTCACTGTAATATATTATAATATTATATATTATGATGTTGTTCGATTATTATTATTATTAAATATTTCGATTAATAACGAGCGGTCAAATGAGACACCCACCTATATAGCTAGCCGCTGCAGATAGCAACGAATGCTCAACTGGACAACAACAATCATAATAATAACTACGGTTGTATTCAGCGTATATTATTATTATACAATGTACACCATACGTCGTCGTTACGCAACATTTCCATTATTTGTGATTTTTTTTTCTCTCTATACAAAACCATAATATTATTATCTACGCGCGTGTCTACATAATACGCTACGGCTATAAGAGATACTTCTGCTTCGATCGTATCTCTGTTCCATAGGTATATAATATAATATGGGTACGTTATCTATACGCGTGGACCGCATGCCTGCTGTACCCACATTTTTTCATTTAGGATTTACAGGCTCGCTACAGCCATATAATATACGCACCTCCTATATTGTGTATACGCCCCGAGGAGTGTGCGGTGCAATTTAGTTTCGTCCAGCGCACACGCATAAGTGCGGCTCGTTAAGAACTCAAAATGAAACCGGTTTTCGAAACAATTTCTTTAACCCCTACCCCTTGTGTGTGTATGGTGTGTGTATCGCTGTGTGCGCCGTGTACGATAGGCTACCTACGTGAGATTGCGAAAATAAATATTTTTTTTATCATTTCTTCGACATCTACTTAATGGCGGTTTTTCTTCTTACATGTCGCTCGGACTTCCTTAACACGTGTACAATCATGCGCGCATAACATTATCTGAAGCTCGTGGTATACCAATATATATATATCGGTAAGTACACGTGTTTTCTTTTTTTTTTTTTTTAATGGGTTTACGCGCCAAGTATCAGATTTTCGTGACCGTTGCTATTATAATTGTGCACATAATATAAATCAGGAGGAATAATATAGTTATAGATATATAGGTATGTACATATCATCATCAACTTGTCAAACTTTATAAGAAACTATAGATATATACAATATACGACTATATAATACAGGTATTAATATTATAATATTATACAAATTACTATCCGTCCCACACTCATTTGGTTTAGACCATTTGTTCTGAATTAATATCCAATTCGAGTTGTACAATGCTTCTCTCTCTCTTTGGTGGGTAGGTGTATTCGGATTCTTTAATCGGATTTAATATGTCAATTCTAGACAATACGCATTTTTAATTATTTTTGAATTTTAATAATATGACTATTACCGGTTGAAACGTGCAATTACACTACCGCCCTATGTTAATATGTTTCAAAATTTCAAATTGATTGATATCGAATGGTCTATATTATTATAAAATAAAATAACTTGTATATAGTGGGATAAAATCGTTTTAATACCTATCGTGCGTTCAGACAAAATTCACGTAATTTTAATTTCATAATATTATTCTCTTTACGTGCATTTGACGTATATTTCTCCTATATAAGAAATATAATGTATAGTAACTAGTAGGAACTACACATGCATATTATACGCAGCCATAAATCGACTAACCTAATAATTTGCTCGTTGCTCCTATATTATATATACTTTAATTGCACCTACTGCAGGAATTTCACTACGCGCGCGCAAGAGTCGAGTCAATTTATGACTTTTGCTAATATGTAAGCCGTTTGTCTTTTGACTCGTGCGTTCTGTATTTTTTTTAATGCAGTCTGTATCTCATATATTGGTGTCGTGAAAACCGGGTTTTTTTTTTGTTGTACTTATACCCATTTGCTTTCTACCAGCGGCGTTCACGACCTGAAACAGTCGACGCAAAATTGGAATTTCGTGTTTACACAGCGAATTAACTGATTCACGGGCTTTTATATTTGAACAGTTACGTACATAATATTATAAAGTACGGAAAACCTGTTTATATATATTTTTTTTTTATTGTTGTTAAAAAACAACTATGCGCGCTCAAAATATGTGTTTAGCTAAACTTCTAAATAACAGCGGTGGTAGATACATATAATTCCCGTCACCCGGAGACACCACACCCATTGCAGGCAGTACAATAATATTATACCTATATAATGTATTTTTCTTACCATTTTTATATTCTGCGCTTCCCAAGGTGAGCCACTGCACTTGGTCTGTGGTTTATTACTCGTCGGACACCACTCAAAACGGGGAAATAATATTATACGACTGCGGGTATTTATACTGTATAGCTGTGGTACGATTCTGCCCTCGTGTTGTATCACTCGCACGAACGCATGTGTGCAATTTCACCGAAAGTTCGGTTTCATACATTGTGCATGCGTAGCCTTGAAAATAATAAACATATATTTATTTAAGTAGGTAGGTATAAATGATTTAATGCTAATCTAAAAAATAAAATAAATATTATTGTGTAGTTCGTTAAAAAAATTGTATTCGTACAATATATTGTGTATAATATAGTAATCGTAATGTATGTTTTCAGGAAATTTATAGGCAGTAAAATTTTATTTTTTTTAGATCTGATTATTATTTGTCATATACAGTGAAACCTCGATAACTCGAATCGGTTGGGGGTGAAAAAAAATTCGAGTTTAATAGTAGAAAAATCTGTGTGTACTTATTGAAATGAAGGGGAGAAGATATTCCTTCGAGTTATCGAAAATTTGACTTATAGACATTCGACTTATCGAGGTTTCACTGTACTTATATCTCCTGTATATAATACCTAGTCCTATTGGCTATAATTATCTGTTATTAATATCTGATGGGTCTTGTAAATATAAAGTAACTAGATCGGATTCGTATATTAAATGTCATTATGTAACTAATATTATTATTTAATTTGTATAGTGATATTATGATAATATATTGTTTAGTATTTAAAATATTAAACTACTTTATGCTAAATGATTCTATAATTTGTAATATATTAGATATTATTATGCAAGTTACTATTCCTTAAACAAAAAA